TGATTATATGCTTTTTTCTTTATTCAAAACTTTGAACATGTTCATGAACTTTGAACCTAGGTTCATTAGGAACCCTAGCCTAAAGTATGTTTAAAAGGTCATTTTTTAAAAAATTTGCTTCTGAATTTACTCTTGATAGTTACCAACTAATCAAACAATGGCGAACCAATCTTAAAATACCCAAATATATCAACTAGAGGTAAAAGTACTTCCTTTTACAACTTAGTATAGCTGTTTTATTCAATTTTTTTGTTTTTTATCTTGTTTAGAAGCCCAAAAGCTCTTTTTTAGTTATATACAAGTATATACTTTGTTACTTTTTCAATGTTACTTAGGAGCAAAAAATTTGTATAACTTTTAGTTTAAAAAAGACCCAAAATTGGCCGATATGCTTCAGGTAATGCTATTAATATAAATTGAGTTATACTTATACTAGTATTATATCCACACTATATATTAAAATACCTGTCTGCATTAAAAGCATTCTGATTGGCTTACTTATGCAAGATATGGATATAAACATGTGTGCAACTTCCAGCATAGTAGAAGTTTATTTTGATTGGTTATTAAAATATACCGAAAAAATGCAGATCATCTCTGGACAAAATAATGTGATAAAATTTTATTACTTACGAAACTTTTAAAAGATTAGTTAGTACATTCTAAAGATGCGTATTATAGTTTTAAAATACATTAATTTGGGTTCATAATTATTCATATTTCACAATATATACAATATTATTCATTTCGCAATAAGTACCTTAAAGTCCTGAATATAAGCAACCCTCTAAGCCACCCATTTTGGCTGATTTTTTTAGAAGGGTTGCTTAATTTTAGTAACTTTTGAAAACTTAATTCTATTAGCCAATATTAATAAAAATTACTTTTGATTTTATTTGTTTATAGGGTTGCTTATTTTACTTTTTTCATATTTTAGTACTAAAATCTAAAGGGTTGCTTATTTTTGGGGGTTGCTTATATTCAGAATTTTATGGTATACTATTTATTTTATAACAAATACTCCTAAGAAGAGGGCCAGAAAATACGTGTTTTCTTTTGGGGGGAGGGTCTTTTCAAAAAACACGTCTATATATAGAAAAATCGAGAAGATAAGAAACCTAGAGGAGAGAGGAGTAATTTTGTCAAAATAAAAAACATGTGTTTTCTGGCTCTCCCCTAAGTTTCGCAACACAATTTGCTAAATAAAATAACATACATGAACATTTATAAATACTGATACTTTAAACCATATATTTTTAAACTACTCATAACTTAAATATACTCTGTAAAAAAAGTCATCACTTCTATATTTTTTCCATAAATATAGCATATTTGTGGAATTTTTATAGAATTATATTATACAAATAATGGAAATTACACAAAAGCTTCACTGACTCATAATAGTAAAAACAAGAGTTTTTATTGAAAATGTGCGAATACTTTACTGAAGTTCATAATAGTAAAACAAGTTTTTTTATTGAAAATGTACAGATACTTTACTAAAATATTAATAAAATTATTATACTGACTCATATAATAGTAAGACAGAAAATTTACTGAAATATTACAAGCTATGAAATCTATTAAATTTATATAATTGTAAGCAATATACATTATATATATAGATATAAGCTGGAATTTATATTGAGTAACTTTATATATCATAAAACATAACAATAATGCATATGTAGTAATTGTTCAAACCTATTATTGTCAAATAAAAATGGCACCATGAATTCTTGCATGCCTTTGCTGCTTTTTTCACTTTTTATTAGTTTTTGTTTTTATTCTCTTACTGACTTCTGCCTTTGTTTCTTTAATTTTCTGTTTTCTTTTTCTCTTTTTGCCTATATAATAAATATATAAATAAAATAGAAAGCAAAGAAAAAAAAAAGTAACTAATATTTGTTTGCTAGTAATCTTTACTCATATTATTCAAAGTACTAGAATCCTGGGTATTACTTTTAATTATGTTATCTTGATTTGTAATATTTTCAATATCAATATGCTTTTGGGAAGAAGACTGAAGATTTATTTTTAATGATGGCTTTGCAGGACCTATATAAATAAATAGATAAATAAAATAGAGAATATGAAGATATAAAAATATAATTATGATAATATTTGTTTCAGTAATCTTACTTGTATTATTCAAAGTGCTGAAATTTTGTATATTGTTCTTAGTTGTGTTACTTTGTTTTGAAGTTTCTCAATACCAGTATGCTTTAGAGCAGATCGAAGATTTGTTTTTGATGATGACTTTGTGGAACCAATTTAATAAATATATAATAAATAAAATAGCAAGTGTAAATATCAAAAATGAGCCAATATTTATTTCCAATAAGGGTGCTGACATTTATTAGGTAATATTTTAGAAGGTGGGGATCAAGCAAAACTTTACCTTATATAAAACAATTATAGTCAATAAAATTTAGCTAAATACCTTATCTAGGTGTGGTAACTTAGTGTAGTGGTCTAGTCGTCACCCTCTCCAAGTGGCAGGTCTAGAGTTCAAATCACACAGACGACGAATTTTGAAAAATAGCCTGTGTTATGGTTTACGGTTGTCGATTATCGGTTGGATCTAAAAATCTGTAATCTCGATTATACCATCTAGTTATGGGAGCTTTGGTGCAATAAATCCGAGGAACCGGAATAACCGAAAACCCATTTGGCAAGTCCTGAGTTTGGAGGTAGTAGTGATCTACAACAGTATACAGGAGTGCTGAATTTGAACCGGGGCCTGAGATTGGAGAACCGAGTGACCAGGTCCTAATGACGGAGAACACACTAGCCGAACCGCCAGGTTGTTGCATCAGAGGAAAAGGATATATGCTCCGAAAGTATGAACCAAGCGGAGGGCGTCCTTTAGGCACCTAAAGCCTGGGCAGACCAACCCTTCCGGGTTGCCGGCTGGAAGTAAGGGAGGGACTGGTAAAGAATCTGGGTAAGAAGATGGTCTAAATATGGGGTACTGGGGTTGCTAGGAACCAAAACAAGGGCAAGGAGTACGTAATGGGTGCCTAATTAGGAAGGTTGGTGCTTGAGAAATGTCCATAGAACGGCAGCACCCCAAAAGGTGGCGTGAGATACGAATACGGAACGGCAGGTTAATATGTACTAATTAGGAAAAAGTTATAGGAACAAGCACGTGAATACATGTGTGGGACATGTACTGCTGTATTAGGTTTACCTCGAGGATAGTTAAGTGTCCTAAGGTAGAATGTGAAATCCACATTGGGTGATACCAAAATCTAGTGTATGAATAGTGAGGAAACCCATAGGGTTAGAGAGCTGATGGAGGTAGTTAGAACCAGATGGTTTAAATGGGTACCCCCTAGTTGGGGTGCAGGTACGGCAGATAGTGTAG